GAAGAAGAAGAAGAAGAAGAAGAAGAAGAAGAAGAAGAAGAAGAAGAAGAAGATGAAGAAGAAGAAGAAGAAGAAGAAGAAGAAGAAGAAGAAGTATTATATAACAATGTCGCTACCACGCTCTGCTATAAGCCTCCCTTACAGCACCGTTAGAAAACTTCACAGCCTTCACCACTGACCACTAACTAACACCACCACTAACAACGAACGAGAATTTGAGGGGTTGTATTTCATTTCTTTCTTAGTCTGAGGTGAAGTGTATTTTATGTGTACATGCGTGTGTATGTGTGTGTACGTATGTTTGTGTGTGTGTATGTGTATGTGTGTGAATGTGTGTGTATGTTATGTTTGTGTGTGTGTAGGTGTCAATGTGTGTGTCTAAATGCATCATGTGTGTATGTGGTTGTGCTTCAACGACACAATGTTTCAATGGTCAGCAACAGGCACATATGGTCGCTTTTAAGGACAAGCGGGCTAACCCAGATTTCGGGGGGGGGGGGTGATAATCTTGACCTACACCAAAAATGGGCATTACCCTACCTATAAGAGACGTATAGCTTCATTGGTGTGTATATAATTTGTTTGGTTATAGAGAAAACCCTCATTGTCTTTTAAAGAAACTGAACAAGGTGCAAAAACTTTACCTTCGATTTTCTCAAAACAGCATTTTTTCGGGATAGCCCCCTTGTGCTTAAAAGCAACCATATATAATATGGGATTTTTTTTTATTCAGTCATTCCCTCACTTGTCCCTGACATCGCTATGTTTCTCTCTCTCTCTCTCTCTCTCTCTCTCTCTCTCTCTCTCTCTCTCTCTCTCTCTCTCTCTCTCTGGGTGGTTGGCGGGTGCTCTGGTGTGGTAGGTTTGCTCCTTCTTTCCTATCAAACATCTGTCGTCCTGATCTCCCCTCCTTCTATTTTGTGTTTGTTACTCTCTTGTAACACCTCTTATCTTCGGTACTTACATGACCTTGTTGTGTTGCAAGTGCCGTAAAACATGTTACTAAAACTAAAATTGCTTGTCCCTAACATCCCTGTGTTTATATATATCTCTCTCTATCTCTCTCTATCTCTCTCTCTCTCCCCTCCAGCAAAGACGTGCGTCTGCCCGTACAACTGCAAAGAGCTATGGCCGCTGAGGCTGAGGCTGCCAGGGAGGCCAGAGCTAAGGTCAGTTCCACAGCTGAGGCTTAGGCTTATGCTTAGGCTGTCCTCATCGTTTTATGCAAGAAAAATTCTGAAATAATGCAAACTGAACCCAAAAATATGAAATTATGCGATTCTGTTAATTTTGACAAAGAATGAAAAAGAAAAATAATCAGAAATTATGCAAAAAAATGATCACATTTTGCTAAATTATGCGAGGAGCATAAAACCACGGGGACAGCCTAGTCTTAGGCTTAGCTGTATGTATGTATGTATGTATCTCTATAATATAACTCCAAAAGTCTTGTAATTAAATTCCTGCATGTGTTTGAACGATGCCTCTGATGTGAATGTACATTTTATTAGCTTTACTTCTTTTTTCATATTGAATTTAAGGAGAGTAATATATAATTTAAGATTGTTGTGTATACCTGCATGTATTTTTACGGTCCTGTACAGCCAAGAATAATTTCCCTCTGGGATAATAAAGTATTATCTTATCTTATCTTATCTTAGGCTTAGGCTTAGGCTTAGGCTTAGCTTTGACCCAAAAAATAATCTTACGGTTTTGACAGAGCAGATAGAGCATGTGATTTCTGACCTCATGGTGGTCTTAGTGACTCAAAATGGCCTAAAATATCAGATAGAAGAACTTTTGTAATTCTAAGGTAGCATACTGGACCCTGGATTGTGAGGTCCAACATTGAGTCCAAGGGAAAGGATGTTCGAGTTTAGTTTAGTTAGAGTTTTGCGGCGCTCACAACTGCATAAGATCATATGAGCGCCAAGAGGTGGATGTCAATAGAGAAGTACAAACGGGGAATCAGGCCTACTCTGCTCACCTCTGTAGCCTCAACAGTACAAAGTCTGTTTCGACTTTCAAGACTCCCCGGAAACAACAGTTCATAAGAGAGTGACAAACATACAAAAGAAGTAGAGTAGTAGAGAATAAATGACGATAGTAAGGATGAGGAAAGAAAAAGCAGCAGTGCCCCCAATGTTGGTGCGGCACAGTATGAACGTGGCATTGATAAATCAGCCCATTTACAATTCTACTGTGCAGAAGAACATGTTGATAATAATATCCCCCGTTTGGGAACGGCCTAAAGACAACTTCAGCCAGTAGCACTGCTCTGGGGGTAGGGAAAGGATGTTTACAGGAATTGTCCCACTTGCTTCAATGGTATCACAGATGGATGTTTAAATTTGGAGGTCCCACTTGTCAAATAACCTTACGATGTTGCAAAGGGCATTAAACATCCCACATGCAATTTCACTGAGGTGTTTCATTATGGAAACTCTATTTAATAAATGAGTGTTTTATGTGATGTGGTTTGGAAAGCAAAAACGACGATCAATGAGGTGTGTCTGATTCTCCACACAAGACAAACGCTGCTGAATATTTTTTTTTTATGTAGAAAAATAACATACTTTATACTTTGGCCACGTAAAACGAAATGAGACCATTATAAAAGATTTTACTTTGGCCACTACAACGAAATGAGACCATTGTGAAAGATTATACTTTGGCCACTTACAACGAAATGAGACCATTGTGAAAGATTATACTTTGGCCACTTACAGCGATATGAGACCATTGTGAAAGATTATACTTTGGCCACTTACAGGGATATGAGACCATTGTGAAAGATTATACTTTGGCCACTTACAACGAAATGAGACCATTGTGAAAGATTATACTTTGGCCACTTACAACGAAATGAGACCATTGTGAAAGATTATACTTTGGCCACTTACAGCGATATGAGACCATTGTGAAAGATTATACTTTGGCCACTTACAGGGATATGAGACCATTGTGAAAGATTATACTTTGGCCACTTACAACGAAATGAGACCATTGTGAAAGATTATACTTTGG